AGCAGGAAATCTGCTGTGCACCACTCCATTCAACACCATGATTTTATACAAATGAACCTGTCAATATATTAAGTTTGATGTTTGTAGGACCACATGCTAGCATTTAACTCCAATTCTAACAATACTGTGGATAAAATGTCACAATCCTGCCTTTAAAATCCTGTTCATTCTTCAGTTGTCTTCCTCTTGGCCATTACTTGAATTCATCATGTTTTATTACTGTCTCTCCTCTTAAGAATGTGAAATACATTCTGGCTTTTTTAAGATAAAGACCAGTATTAACCTGCTTCACATTTTCCTCAAGACACATGTATTTTCTTTTACCTTCAAAGACAGTTTTGATACTTTTTTCTTTCAAGTTTTCTTGAGGAACTACAGAAGCAGGACTAGACTTGCTAAACTACCAGAAACTCTGTTTTGCATGCGTTTGCATTGCTCTTTCCTGCTGTTGCAGATTAATTCTGTTTGAACTCTGAAACATAAATGTCTTCTAATTAACCCTTTTCATTATTTGCATGAATTATTGGAATTGTACACACTAATTAATTACAACCCTACTGCACAGTTGCATATCTGAGCATTTTATAGATAGAGAGAGTTAGTCACCTAAACCTTGCATAAGAATTATAAAAGAAATTCTGTTGCATGATATACTGCTGCAAGTATCGGTGTATATGTGAGGCCTTTGGATTGAACTCGGTATAAGTGCTGCTGTTTCATAATGGCTGGTTTACTGATGGCAGCTATGAGCTGTGGCTTTGTGGTGTGAGTCTTGGATGTATAATTTCCCTCTCTATTCTTCGGTATTTCAGGAGCCATAAAGAGGAAGGTGGAGCTGGACTGGGGCACTGAAGACTCTGAATACCTTCAGAAAGTAGAGCTCCACTCTGAGGGGTCTCTGAATGAAGTGCAACCTGACATCATTGTCTATAACGCAGGAACAGACATCTTGGATGGAGACCCCCTCGGAGGACTCTCCATATCACCACAGGTACTGTACCTCTAACATTCAGTGTGAAATTATTCTGGAAGTAGGGGTTTATCAGCTTGTAATGACAGAATTACTTCATATTAGAATAGCCTCCCAATAACTGAGCATTATCACCCTCATGCTTTATTGCAGGGCTATTGTGTTGGACTGACTTTTACTAAGGCTCCAAAACACTGCACCATCGAAGCGGCACCAATCTGTACCAATTTCTGTGTTGCACAGTGCACATATTAGTTAGTCGTTGAAGAGCATCTGCAGATCAGTTTTTTTATGTAAAAACAAAAAATCTACTTAAAGGCTAATGCTGACTATGTATATCTGCTCTACTGTAATGGCAGGAAAAAGGTCTGCCTATTAAACTGACGGACTCAGCTGGGTCAGCTGCTGTGTAGCTAATTTGTCAGACAATTTGAAAGCATAGCAAGAGCTCATCCAAATGAGCCAAATTTGAATTTATTATTTCCTGTGTGCAGAGATTTCCTGCTAGTTATCGTGCAAATTCAAGACAATAATTGGAGCAAATATGATGAATCAATATAAAGTGTTAGTGGGGATGGTATGCTCATGTGTGTTGCAGAGCTAAGTAATGATTTGGGCTGGTAAATGGCCTGAAAAGAAAACTTGGTTTGACCAGTTTTAATAACTGTTGTTTAATGTTCTGGTTGAACATGTGTTTCTGCCATACCTAATAATGTTTAAAATCTGTCCTTGTGCTACAGATTTCTCCATAATAAATGAGATTTTTGACACAAGCTGTTCCGCTCTCAATCCCTACACAAATAGGGGTCTGTTTTTTTTTTTTTTAGTCTGTCCTATCTGCGTTGCCCTGAGCAGCTTTCTGCTCCACAGCAGATCAGTGAGATATGGGAACGTTCAGGCATCTTCCAGGCATCCCCATCCATCCTCAGGGGAGGAACAGAGCAGAGATAGAAACGTTAGCCTGCAGCTTCATAGAATTCAGAGAAATGACTAGTCCTATCTAAAGTTGTGGGTAGACAGACAGCTTTTCTTTTCTTCTCTTTGCTAGGGCATTGTAAAGAGAGATGAGGTTGTCTTCAGGGCTGCGAGGCGGCGCGGCATCCCCATACTTATGGTGACATCTGGGGGATACCAGAAGACAACAGCCCGCATCATTGCTGACTCCATCCTCAATTTACACCAGCAGGGTTTGATTGGAGCCGAGGCTCTGGAAGGGGAGGGCTCATCATCACTGGTGACCAACATGATGTGCAGCTCTGGATCTGCAGGATCAACATCCACCACTGTGTGAGGGGCACTAATCCACACTCTCCAGCGGTGACATTTAAATTGCACTATAGAAACTTTATATTGTGCAGTTACTGTGTGACAGCAGAGATGATAGGTTATTGCTGTCATGAAATGTCAGAAATGTGTTTATTGGAAATGTATGATGGAGGTGTTAGGCAATACTGGTTTGCACACATACCACAAAACAAATTGACAAGATTTGGTGATTTTTTTTTTTGCCTTCTGTTTTTAATGTATAAGTTAGCAGTTGCTCAAAGGGAATAATAATTCAGAGAGGGAAATTATGCAGAAACAAATGACTACAGCAGGTTTCATAAGAGCTCACAAAAGAGTTTAAATTTTTATCAGCTGGGGAAAGATGGGTTTTATTCTTAATATATGTTCAGGGAAATGTTTTAGAGAGATATTCTTTCACCTCAGGAAATGTAATAAATGTGAATTTGTGAAGGATGGGAATATATTAATAGTGAATGAAATGGTACAGAGGTTGGATGTTCTAAAATAATATTAATTATCCTCCATCATAGTTTCTAATTATGGGGTGAAAAATAAAGATAATTGCAAATGAAAAGTGTAACTATCAAACATAGTCTAATGGGGATATTTAGACTTTTTAGAAAAGATAATTCCTTGTTTATTCCCCTTTAGCATTTTATAATGGTGTTTTTCTCTAGGTAGTAGTAATCATTATAGAGTTAATGGGGTTTCATTAATCAAGTTCAACCATTGTCTTTTTTTCTTTTTTGCTTAATTCATACAGTGTGTTTACATCCACTCTGATATCGATAGTTAGTGTTTACAGGAGAGCCTACATGATTTTTTTCTATACTAAAGTGTTTGTCTCTTAAGTTTGAACAAATCTGAAATACTAATGTAACTGTGAGCACTTTAACACAGTGTATGATAAAAGAAAGTTCGGCAACATTCCTCCTAATAAATGTTCTTTTTGCGGTGTTACTGTCATCTAGAGATCAAAGTCCTAAAACTGATCAGTGGTCAGTGATTAATGAGCAGGCCTGTACAGCCGAGCTTTTATGGGTATTAGTCCTCATTGGTTCACTGTAGTCAGACATTCAGCACTCCCCTAATGATGTTTACACTTAAAGCATTTGTGTAAAAGTTGACAAAAGAAATCATTAAATATATTGGCATCAATATGATTAATGCAGCTGCTGGAACAATATCACCACTTCCAGAAGACCCTAAAGGCTTTCCCTCAAACACAGACTAGATAGTGAGTTCCGTGCTTGAGAATGTGTGTGTACAGCATTACCTAAACCTTTTGAATTTCACCTAGAACATTTTGCTCTGCTGAGTAATGGTTTAAGTGAACTAACGCCTTATTACACCTGTTTCATATTTATACAGTATATGAATACAGCTGGAACATTGGTGGATTCATATGGAAACGTTTGCAGTTAGATTTTTTGAAATACATGTTTTTTAAGTTTGGTTAGTTTATTCTTGCAGTCCATGTAAGAGAAACAGGAAATAGTGAAAGAGAGGAGAGAAAGTGGGGTATAGCCAGGAGATGAGTAGGGGTGTGGACGCTTCAGTTATGTGGTATGTACTGTACCTTAACCGTTCAGTCACTAAGTCACCTTCTTTGAAAGGTGTAATTTAAGGATTATTTAAATTTATTACAACTCAAGGTTTTGGACACTATTTCTTTTAAAGACAGCAACACTGTGTTTTCTAAGTAAATTGTTATGATCTGAGAATTCAGTGATATCACCAAAAAAGTCCTATGGGGCAAGAAATCCAAGCAGTGAGGTGTTCCAATTTTTAAACACACTTAGCCTGGTTCCAGACCTCTGTGTCACTGCCCCATTACTGATTTGCTTAGGCTGTGCTCATTAACAACTGTTTCCTTTTGGAGAAACCGTTGACTAATCAAAGTTTGTAGGTGAGATTAAATATTGTACATCAGTGTACTACATAGCTAGCTGTATAGGTACATTCGTACATTAAAATAGCAACTGAAAAAAACTGCCACATAATAGTAGACATTCATAACCCAGAATCATTGCAATGGCTGTGAAAACCATTATACTAACTGCTAGAAACCAGTACCGCAGCCTTGGTGTCACCTGAAAATAATGTTCGTACTATAGGACAGATACTGGTGGCTAACTACTGATTGGTTAGGGCAAAACAAAACAAATGAATCCCCCTCATAAACAGAAACTGAAGAATGTGTCTGTCTGAAAGAATGAAGTGAAACAAAGTGGCAGTTCATTCTGATTCTCAGCCTGAAACAAACCTCCAGGTTGACCAAACCAGGAATAGAAAACAAGTGCAAACAGTAAAAGTCTTACCACACTGCCTGTTAAAAACATCCATCAAGGTTTACGGTCCAACTTTTTATTGACAGTTCAGCTGCTTTCACTTTTGGTAGACCCCTCCATATAAAGTGGTTTAGATTATCAGGATATACTTGGCTTACTTGCGACCTGTCTCAGTGCATTAGATGTGATTTTCTGTTTAGCAGCAGAGTAGACCTAAAGTGGCAGTTGGCAGGTGCTGCTGTAATGACTTTCTAATGCATTTTCACATTCATTATCTTCCCCTGCACTACTCTTAAAAAAGTTGCAAAAGTTAGGAGTGGACTGCAGACTCATAAGCATTTGAAAAGCAGTGTTCGGGTGCTTCTCCAGAAAGCTGTTTGGACAACTGTGGTACAGAGGTCATATTAGAGGTGTCACTCCTAACGAGCTAAAGCCTTTGATCTGGTGTGTTGCTTTTGAATACAGCTGAAAAAAAATAGTGTAGTCTACTTTTAATTAGGACTGCAATCCCACATTCCAGCTCATCAGCTCATTTCTGTGTCAGCAAACATTTTAGCCATTTAGCCACTGATTGCATGTTGCGTGCCAAAAAAAGAAAAAAAAAAGGTTTCCAAACTGTACTGTTATTTTTGGGTATGTTTGTGAGTCATGTTTGAAACTGAAAATAACTTCTATGCATTCATAATGACACTGAATAAATCATGTAACAACTAAAAGGCATGCTTGTCTTTTTTTGATACTGTATACGTAATGCTAAAAGTGTGTTTGGAAAACACTGGATTTAACTAGTCGCTGCTATATAGTTGTTTTTTTTTTCTACAGTCTAAATTGTCCACTGAGTACTGTTTGTCCTGTTTGGGTGTTCTTATAAAACCCTGCCTCATGCAATGTACTGACAGTCTAATACTTGTACCTTAATGACTCATTAAGTGAAGCCATTTATGGCATTTAGCTTCACTGATGCCTCCTTCTGGTGCAGTTTTAGGTAGTTCACTGGATCACTCTAAGTATGAGGTGACGTTGTTATATTGTTTCTCAGTTGAGTCTGATTAGACCTCAAATTAAAGTTAGGCAGCTGTCTAAATGTACACCTTTCCATGCCTTCACAATGAACACATACTATAGCTACTGTATATACAGTACATTTTAGTCCAATACTGTGATTTTTGACCAAATCACTTGCAAACCAGTGACAACTAAGGGAATTTTGTTCAGCATTGCAGGCCATTTAGTTGAAGGGAAAATAAACCTCTGAGCTAAAAATCTTACTAATAATCAGTTGGCAAACTCCTTAAGCTAGTTAGCGTACAATAGCTCTGTAACTAATGGCACAATAAGTTCACACTGATTTTTTTTATTCCCAAAAGACACATTTTTATATTAAAGGTTAATAAAAGTGGCTGATGCAAAAGAGTTGGTAAACTGTGCTGGCTTCTTTTATTTTGGACTCCAGCTCTCTGTCCCCTCCCAGGTCTGCACTGTAAGATAGCGTGCTGTTAGTCACCTGTGCCAATTCAGATCTGAATTTCAAAGGTTTAAGGTTCATTACTCTTTCATTGAAGTTTAAAAAGGGATGTATTAATTTCATGTTGCTGTTTTAGATTTATATATATTGTACACCATTTCTTCAGGAGCAGTAATATCTCATCAGGGGTAATAAGCAAAGAGAAACCCATTACAATTCCTGAGTAACTTGCCCAGCATTGGTTGCCAGCTTACGACAAATATCATTTTAACTGGTTAATGCTTTCTTATAGTCACCATGATATGCGACGCAGAACCAGTTACACTAAAGAGCTTGTTAATAACACTAGTCAGTGTATTAATTAGTGCATATTTCAGAAGCATCATGCATGTCTTCACAAAGCATGAGTGATATTAAAATGAATTCTGGTAGGTACTCCTAAATGTCATCCAGGAGAGTTGGTTGTGGAAATGTGTTATCTTGCATTGTTATTGACAACATAATTTCATGCAGACCATGTACCGTGGTGTTGGGACAAAAGAAGATTGCAGTAAGCCTCATTAAACACGATTCCTCGGCTGTTCGCCCGCCTTCTGGATACTGTCTTACCTCAAATGAACTGCTCCAGGGTTTATCTGAGGCCGAGACCGTCCAGTGCTCATCGTCTGGCTGCTTTGATTGTTATGTTTTCACCTTTACAGACGAACCAACCTAAGTGGTCTGTTCACAACCCATAGCCCCAAAAGCCAGAGTGAAAACAACATAATAACAAGTTAATAAAAGCTCTGCTCAATATGTTCTACTTTCACCAGAGACTGTGGAAATGAGTTCTGTGGTCTTTGGCAGGGATTTTACACATAAAGTTTAGTTTACTGGTAACAAGGAGTTCGTCTGTGTATCTTCTATAGCTGTACAGGAGCTTTATAAAGTTTGACATAATATGATGTCACAGAGCTCCAATCCAGATATCCATAATTTAATTTTGAATATCCAAAATATGTTGTGACTAGTAAAAATGTCAGTTTAGGTAACAACAATTTGTATTATGACTTATGACTTATATTATGAATTTGTATTGTATTCTTTGGCAAACTATTCTAAAATGCAATGGTTTTTCATTTTGGACATTTGAAATTTAAATTGTAACCAGTAATAACTGGATTGTAGATATATGAAATGGGAGTTTATCCTGAAAAGAATTCTACTGCATATATTCATAATGACCATTCTGAATATCAAAAAAGGACACGTGGAATTGAAAGCCCAATACACATGACTAGTGTGGACCAACACTAGCAAAAGTGATGTCATTTGTCCTAGGAAAAATGACATTGTTGATATATGAAATATTCTTTTTAACTTGAAATACAGTTTCTACTAGTATGTCATTTCATCGCCATTTTGACTAATGAGAATATAAGTTTGACTGGGAGAAATGCAATTTGACCATTTGACCTTTGCTTTAACACCACGATCAGTTCAATTCTTCATTTGAACAATATAAAACACCAACAAAATTACTGTACAGTCATTCCAGTCAGCATCAGCTGTATTTAGTGGTAATTAATATTTTTTTCTTGTGAGGTCTCCAATATTTTGGCAGTAGAACAATAAACTGCTGGCGTGTTCCTTTAATATTTGAATGGGTAGGATGGAAAAACATTCTGTCTATCAAGTATTTCTTGGAGTATTTAAACAAATGAACAACACAAGTCTGGTCAGAGTCAAAAGATGTCAACCTTCAAACCCCAGACTCATCTTGGTAGGTTACTGAGCATAGAAACACCCCCCAAGAAAACATACTATTAACAAGGGCAACCTCCTTCACAGTTTGATGCTTGGTTGTGGGTTAAGGTGTGGGATTTCCCTTTATACAATAAACATAAATGTCCCAGACAAAATCAATAGACCAAAGGCATTAGAATTCAATACATTTTCCCACATGGAAAATCCTAGTATCATTAAAAAGACAATTACTGAGAAACATGTGATACTATGAGCTCCTGGCCGTGCCGTCAGAGTAAATGGACCAAACGTGCTGAATGGCAAGGCATTCTAATCTGCACTGAAATTTGATCTGACAGTCCTATTAGGGTTTGCTCAGGTGTTTAAAGTAAGCGAGCAATCACTGGCAAGCGTAGTATAATGGGAGATCTCGATTATTGTTTGATCCAGGGTTTTATGGGAATTGTATTCTTTGGCAAACCATTCTAAAGCAGTGTTGTTCCTATCCATCATCCGGAAAGTCATGATACTGTTGTCAGTTCTTATTATTGTTTTCCAAACCACATTTGCTGACCTTTCCAGGCACATAGAAAGCTGCTTTTTAAATGAAACACAGAGCTGATGGCATTGACTCAGTTCCTGAAAATGTGAAGTGTTTGCTACACCCCAGGTCTTGCAATAAAATAGCAAAATTTTCTTTTACAAAGGTAGTTTCACTAAGTAGATTCAATGATTTAAAGGTCTTCTGGCCGCAAAATAACTGAGAACTAATTTTGCGAGAAAGTACTTTACCTTCAGGGTTGTTGGCCAGACTTTGACTAAATGTTACTAGTCCTTAGAGCTTTTGGGCTGTGGTCAAGTTGAATGTTTCAGATTGATGTTGGATGAGATTCAAAGCAACTCAGACTCTATTGGTCCTTTAAATCAGGGATCAAACTATCCACTTAGGCTTTCTGAACACATCCCTCCTGCCTCGGATACGTGATGCATGTGCTGTGCAGGGAGTAACTAAACTGTAAGTGGAACAGAAAGAGCTGTATGATGTTGACAGTTGGTGCTAGGGCTTTAGTGGGGGGAGATTAGATCATACAGACTGACTTAAACCTAATGGGATGCTGGATTTGTATCTTTGACAGTCTTGCCAAAGGGGCTGGAGTACTAGCAACCTACTTACATTCTCAACTAAAGCTCTAACATGCCTCTGCTTCTTATAAAGATGCACTCTTGTAAACTATTCACCCTAACTTAATGATCTAGAGTTTATGTTGATGCTGAAATATGGAAACATATCTTTTAAGATGTAAGTAAACCATACAGAGAGGGGCTTAATGTTGTGGCCATTTATAGCTCACCTAAAACCATCTGGTTTCCAGCAGGTCATATCCACCACAAGCTAAGCTTGGTGGTCATTAAATGCTTGGTTCTGCCCAAATTGTAGACATATTGCTAAAGCAGATTTAATGTAGTGCACCTTCACTGCTGTTTCCCCATCTGGAAAAGGATATGAACCTATCTGAATTTTGAAGGCGGAATTAAGAGTTAGGTAGTTAACTTTCTCTGCCAATCCTGGAAAGTAGGAACTGAAAAATTGCTGATAAAATGATGACAAGGGTAAATAAGCCTGATGCAGCTGTACAGGTTATTAAAAGGTACCTTACAGGAAAAAAGACCTTGATTATGGTGATAATTTTTAAAGCAGCTAATTATGGTTTGCCCAATGTGGGCAGAAGCTGTAAAATGCCACTTTTATTAAGTTGCTATGGCTACTGTATGTTAGCAAACAGCTGCTTATGTACATATCCAGTAACGTTCATTTTGAGCTGTGTTTTGAACTACCTGATAAAAGGCCCCAGATGTTCTCTCATTTAAGGTCTCCACCAATGACTTCTGGCTATTCAGCTGCTTAATGTTCCACTCTTTTGGAGGAGATTATTAACAGGTTTGACTGAACATTTTCATTGAGAACAGATGCTTACTGGTTAGTTAGAAACACAACACTAAAGAGGTGACTTTTAAAACCAAATCAATGAGCTGAAAGACAATTTTGTGTAGCTGAGAGAAACTGCAGAATTGGTGAAAATTCTCTCTCAAAACTACAGATACTGATTTGATTTATTAATAATATAAAAGTAGTTTTAGTGTAGCTTTTAGTTACAAAAACTGTTACCACAGGTTTCATTTAATCTGAACATGGTGTATGCAGGATGGAAAAAACATTTGCAAATGAGTGTTTAGGACAAGTTAAGCTAACAGGAGATGATGTCAGATTAAATAGTAAAGCGAATCAAAGTGTCAGTTATAAAATTACAAAAAGTCATATTTTCCTCCATTTTACTTCTCTCTTATGTTATCAACATAACAAAGTGATAGCATTCATTAGCCTTTAAGAAATCAGCGTCTTTTTCTGTTCTCGTTGACATCAGCTTTCATTAGAAATAAATGGTCCCTATGAAAACTGTGTGCAGTGGAAATAGCAGAAAAATCTCTGCTAGATCATTTAGATTTAGGCAGAGGA